TATTTCTCAATGGCTGCAAGAATGCAGCCAGAGAGGAGAAATGATTGCTTTTACAGCCTTTATGGATGTAAAAGCAATCAGTGTAAAAAAAAAAATAATAAATCTTCATCACCCCCCACAAGTAGTACAGTGTCACCATGGTGAAACTGTACTGCTAGGGTGACAGTATGTAAAAAAATTTTTTTAATTTTTGGTTATAAACTAATTTGGGTTATTATTTTTTTACCAAAAAGATAACTGAATAAATTTTGACCAAGCTTTATGATGAAAATATTATTTATTTGCAAAATTTTATAAGAAAAACACTTTTTTTCAAAATTTTTGGACAATTTCATTTGCATAGCAAAAAAAAAAAACTCCCAGTGCTGCATAAATACCACCAAAATAAAGCTTTATCTGTCTCAAAAAAATGCTAAAAAAATCATATGGGTAGAGTGTTGCATGACCGCGAAATTGTCATTCAAAGTGTGATAGGACTGAAAGCTGAAAATTGGTCTTCAGAAAGGGGGTAAAAGTGTCCAGACTTGAAGTGGATAAAGCCACCAAATTATTTTACCAAAAAGAGTAACAATCAAAACCATAAACCAGTACGCACATACAGAGGCCAATGCCCCATAATGGAACCACTGAGAGGCTTCCGTAATAAATTTCTAGCAGCAGCAAACAGAGTCTTCAAGACACCCGATGTGGTATTGCAGTTGTGGATTTCTTCCTGGAGACAGGAGACCATAGAGGTGAGAAGGGCGGGGGGGTCCATTAACCTTAGGCTGGTTCCGGGAGGAGGGGCTAAGGGAATAAAGCCCAAGTTCAGCAAGAGTCTTTCCCCTCAAAAAATGTAGAGAAGTTCGCAGGTGCGACACTTTTTGATTTTTCGGTCCTTCCCCACCTGGAATTCTCTTCGGGAATCCCGGGATGTCCCCCCGCGGCGGAATTCTTTCGATACCTTCAGTTGCGGCACTGGCTGCTCTTGCTGCAGGGCACTTCTGCTTTCCCGTACCAGAAATCTGCCTTTGAACAGCTTTGCCAGCAGCGTCCGGGCGCCCCGGGCCTTATATCCCTTCTTTATGCATGCAGCTCTGAATGGACGCTCATCACATACTTCTCTTTCATATGTTGTTCAGTGGGAGCGTGACCTGGGAGTGGCTGTGGATCCAGAGGTCTGGAATAAGACCTGGTCACTCATAGCTAAATGCTCATTTAATACGACCACGCTGGAGGCAGCCTATAAGGTATTGTTTCCTTGGTATTGGATTCCGGCTCGGTTGGCCCAGGCTAACCTTGCCTGTAGTGATCGATGTTTTCGGGGTTGTGGCCATCGTGGAGATGTATTGCATATCTGGTGGTCATTCCCGAGACTGTTTCGTTTTTGATCTCGTGTGTTTGGCCTCCTTTTCACCTTGTTCCATCTCTCCATACGCCGAGATGCTTGGTGTGCCTTGCTACATTGCCCCATACCGGGCCTCTTGGCTCACCAGCAGAAGTTGGCTTCCTATTTGTTTTTATCGGCCACTAGAACAATTGCTCAGGCCTGGAAGAGTCCGTTTGTCCCTCTTTAGGGGGTGCGGGATCGTATGACCACTATGATGCTCAACGAACAGATGTCGAGTATCTGCAACAACTCCCAATGTAAATTTTTGAAAATATGGGAGCCGCGCAATATGCCTTTCCCACGCTCCCCCCGGCTAGTCTGGGGATGTAATGGCGTTCGGTATTGGCGCTCTTGGACCCCTGCTCTTTGTTTTTTTTTTTTTTTTGTTTTGTTTTCTTCTTCCTTTCTCTCCTTCTCTGTTTGTTTGTTTTTTTTGGTGTGACAGTGGACAGCTGCCTTCAGTTGTTATAGTCAGTTACATTAATGTTTTGTAACTTATGTGCCATTGATAGCCCCTGCGTGGGCGTACGTTTTGCCCTGTTGGCATCACAGCACTGTTTTGTTTTTTTTTTATTTTGCATTTTTTTTTATCTGTGCAATTGATAGCCCCTGTGTGGGCGTGTTTTGTTGCCTCTGTTTTTATACTGTTTAAAAATTAATATAAAAAACCATTGAAATATAAAAAATGTAGAGAAGGAGTAGGATTTTCCTTTATAAATAAATTGTAGGTGAAATGGATAGTTCCATCGATATCCCTCTGGATTAATGGCGAGAGTAGCGTTTGAAGGCCTTCCAGTTTTGGATGGTAGCTTGAGAAATGTCTGCGAAGACGTAAATCCGGTATCCATCAACCTCTAAATCTGGATGATCCCTAGCGTAACGCATCACTGACTCTTTGACCCTGAATAAGTGAGACTTCACTATTATGTCCCAAGGAGGGCCGTCCGGCCGCAAAGGGACCAAAGCCCTGTGGATACGATCTATTTCCAGATGAATTTCATCAATCGTCGGTACTGCAGCATGGAAAAGGGAATGGGCAATAGATGCAATATCTTTTACAGTTTCAGGCAGCCCTCTAATTCGAAAATTGCACCACCTAGCACGATTCTATTTAATCTATTTTATTGTATGCCTCATCCAAGCGGTCTTGTAAGTCGGCAATCATGCTAGAATTTTGAGTCACTCTGTGAACTGTATCATCAACTTTAGATTCAATCTTCTCGAGGCAATCTCCCAATTCCCGAAAGTACTGTTTCAGGTCAGAGGCTAACTTAGTGGTAGCTTTATCTAACTCCCGCTGCAGCAAACCAGCAAAACGTGCGATGAGTATGGAATCCCCGTAATAGTGCGGGGTGCAGGAGGAAAGGCAGGAGAATCCATTGGGCCATCGTGTGGGGAATCTTGGCTACCGGTTTGACTAATAAAGATATCCGCCATTTCCCTGTCTAGCAGGGAGGAAGCTTGGGAATCATGGTCTGGTGATATGCTTGTGGTCTGTGAGGGAGGACTAGGGAGGGAGCCAGTAGGTGCCAGTAGGAGAGATCACTTACATGATCCATGGCTCTGCTGGAGCTGTCATCCCGATGTCCAGGGTTGGAGGAAGGAGGTACTGTCCCCTGTGAGCACTGCTGTGATCCCTCAGCAGCCGAGGAGGCCTTGGAGCTGCCACTGGGCACCTTCTTGCCTCCCCTGCCCGCCCCTTTAGCTGCGGTGTGGGATCCACCCGCGGACTTTCCGGCCGGTCGGGTGGGCATAGCAAGAGCCCCCACCTTCCCAGCAAGCAGTACGGGTGTTTTTCTGGGGGTGCAGGTGAATTGGGGCCGCTTTTAATCGCCCCTAAAGTGCCAAGATTGTGCGGAGCGGTCAGCAGGACATCCGCTCCGGCTGCCTGTGCATGCGCTCTATGTGCTGATCATTTTGACATGGGTTGTGTCCCTGTCCATTGCATTAGCCATAATGTAAAAAAAAAAAAAAAAAAAAAATCTTAGAGGAAAATTCAAGGATCATTGTAATATCTGTGACAAACGGCTGGACCAGGGAATGTATCTGTGTTGATTTCTCCTCCAGTCCTCAGGTAGGTGAGTTACAAAGTGGCTGACATAGAGGGATTTACTTTGGAATATAATAGTCAGAGTCCTGACCTAAGAAATTATGTTAAGATAGTGCTACAGTGTGATTTTCTGTTGTTCAGGCCACAACCTGATTGAGGCTCCATGCACACTAACGTTTAAGCTCAAAAAATGCTGGAACAAACGCTGGATAAGGCTCCATGCACATTATCATTTTTTTAAGCTCAAGAAACAATGGTAGAAACGTAGGATAAAAATCTGCTGGTAATAGAGTTTTTAGCAGCATTTAGGAGTGGTAGTGTTGTATTAGCGTTTTTACAGTACATATAGGAAAAAAAAAAAGAAAAAGCTAGAAAAAAAAGCTGTTAGTAGCATTTTAGGAGTGGTTAGCTTTTTTCTGCTGGAAAAAATGCTCAAAAAACTCTACAAAACCAATTTTTTTCTGCTCCCAGAAGCTGAAGTTTAAAAAACGCTAATAGCCTAAAGTACTGTGCATGGACACATAGTATAACACTATTTAGCTTCTATGAGCAGAAAAAACCACTAGTGTGAATGGAGCCTAAAAAAATGCAGGTAATAGCATTTCTTAGTATTGTGTTAGGCTACATGCACTATAGCATTTTTGAAAGCTCAAAAAATGCCGGGGAAAAAAACATTGAATAAAAACCGCTGGTAATAGCGTTTTTCTAGTAGCGTATGAGTGTTTAGCGTTTTTTTTTATGCTGGAAAAAAGCAAAAAACTGGGGTCCGCCTGTCTGTTTTTCAGGCGAACCCGATTGGTCCATCCATGGACGTCTGTGGACTGGCCTGCCGGCATCCGATCCGATTCTGTATCCTGTATGCCAAAAACAGACATTCCCCATCCATCCAGCAGATCAGGTCATATGACGGACAGGCAGTCCATTACCATCTGACTGTCCAATTGCATTCAGCGAGCAGTGTCTGTGTGCACTCTGTAGCAGCAGTGTGGATAAAGACCTGTCATCCACCTGCTCAGCGAGTATCAACAGAAAGATCCTCTGCTGAGCAGGCGGGATCACGCTAACAGATTCCGCCCTTTTGAAATGGGCCTATTGCATGGACACATAGGATTAACACTAGCTTCTAGGAGCAGAAGAAAAATGCTGATAACAGCTTCTAGTAGCTTAAAAAAATGCTAGTGTGCATGGAGCCTGAAAGGAAATCAATCAGCATGGATGGAGGAATCTCCACTGGTGGTTAACTTTTTAATCAGCTGTAGCACTCACAGCAATCCGAATACAGTGGTGCTGCTAAACACTGGCTGCACCTGATAGCATGCAGTCAATGTTTGGCCAATAATTTTCCACCTGGCTCAGCTGACTTTATCATCGAATGGTGCTTGCAGGGCGACCTATAGCTCACATTTCAGCCAATTCAGCAGGAATCAGTTGAAATTTGAGCCATCTGTGGTCAGTCAGAAACACACTTTTCAAGAAAAACTTCCTGAAGGTCCACAGTAGATCATGGGTCTACAAACTTTTCAGTATGAGGGCCACAGCCAAAAAAGTGGAAGCTCCGCTTGTTTGTATCATCCCCCTCAGGGACTGACCATTTGGAAAACTCGGGCACTGCCCGGGTCAGTAGGGGGCCCCATGAGTTGCCCCTGGTACCTTTTTCATAGGCTTTTTTGAGTTTGGGCAAGGACACAGGGGCCCCATGAACCCTATTGCCGGGGGCCCCATGAGTTGTCAGTCCGCCCCTGATCCCCCTCCACTGCCATATTTGGCAATTTGTTTTGGGGGGAGAGGGGAGCAGATACCTGGTTTTGACAGGTACTGTAATGCCTATGAAATGTGTTGGCCTTGGACCCTTTGTTTCTTGGGTAATTTTTACAATAAAGCATCGTTGCCCAGATGCCAGGAGCATGAGAAGTGACTGATGTCTTTTCTCTAGGCTAAAGGAACTGAGTCACAAGATATTAGACTGCTTAAAGCAGATAAGAATTTGTTTGTGGGCAAAAGTGTGATATTCTTAGATACTGTAATGCAGTGTAGTGGCTGGGCGTGACTCTGTTATCTTCACGGAACCTTTCTGCTAGCTCCTCCTAGAGTGGGTGTGGTGGCTGCCCACTTCAGGAAAGCCGCCAGAAAAAGGGTTTAAAAGCGGGAAGCTCAAGCGTAATTGATTGGGAGCCTTCCTATGCAGACGAGGACACTCTAGTGCTGTATATATGCTATATGGGCTCATCGATTGGTCACGTTTACGGCTTACCCGTGACCCATTGTGCATTATGGTTCCGATTGGGTCTTTTCCTTCCCGTCTTCCCATAGCTTTGGTAATGTATTAATTCTATGCTGTGACGCTGTCAAAAGATGTGTCTATTTCATGCTGTAATGCTCACATTATTAAGATAAATAATATAGTGCAGCGCTTATAAATTAGATCCAATGCAGAAAAAGACAGCAAGAAAACAACAAACTGAAAGTCAATCAAGTATCCTTGGTACTCGCAGGGGTAGTGAAGATATCCAGAGCTATACTGCCTCAAATAATAGCAATGCGCACTCACCAGAAACGCATGGATTATGCGCATGTAACAACGATTATCCTAGATGTTGGATCCGTCACAGAGCAGGTGGTGGGCATCCCTCTCATGGTGGGTCATCCAGAGCTCCAACTCAGGTCCAGAGATCCCCTTAAGGTCAGCCTGGTAATCCTCTATGGTGGTGGTGATCCCTCCTCTAGATGGCATAGGCACCTTTTCTGTGGGAGTGATAGCTCCACATAGGAGCCCCAAAAACAAGTGCCAGAAATAGTGTAGTATGTTCACAAAATGTATTTATTGATGAGCTAAAAGCAGGGTAGTATGCATGTCACAAAAAACGATTACAGGTGAAAACAGCAGTACTGACCCATTCAAAGATGGCCGCCGGGCCTCCTCGTGGCTCCGGCGGTGAAATGACGTCACGCTCTGCACAGCTCCTCCTTAAGGATCTGGGGGCCCCCGTTGTTAAGGGAGGCTTCCAGCTTCCGATAAGCCCCCTTCCGACCCCCACAACCACCGGCCAGGGTTGTGAGGAAGAGGCCCTTGTCCCCATCAACATGGGGATAAGGTACTTTGGGGGGGGGGGGCAGAGCCCCGCTGATAGCTGATGACTCATTGGTTGTTAAGGACGTGGCCACCTGCTCTTTAACAACCAGTACATACCGCATGTCTTCACCAGTACCTAAATTAGTGCAAGCATTTAATTATTTATTTCCAGCCCAGCATTTCCAGTAAATATCACATACTAACAATAGTGAACTGACATTTTCAACATCACATGCAATATGTGGTCATGTGACCGACGTAACGCATGTGATAACCTTTAGTGAATTGTCCCCTCTGTTACCAGAGAACCATTGAGGCTGACATTTCTAAACTTTTAATCTGAGAAGGCTTGTTCCCTGGCTTTCTATGATTAACTCCATCCTTGAATTAAATGCATCAGAAGGGAATTCCCAGAAGGGGCTTCTTTCTGTATGTGTCAGAAAAAAAAAACAAAGATTTATGGATCCTTTAAACTTTTGTATGTAGCCATTTTTTCTGTTTGTGGACATTGGGGGGAATGGACTATCTGTGATCACATCTCATAGCTAAGACTGGGAGTCATTTGTGGGGCTGGGGAAAGTGGGGGAGAGATTTCTTTCTATTTGTTCCTGGCAGTCAAGCTGATGCTTTGCCTTCTATGCTGTCTGAGTCAAATAACTGAAACAAGCACAGAGATAAGGAATTCTGACATTTTTTGCCTCTCATTTATAGCGTGCTTGTTCTGGATCTGAAATTCTAATGTACTCTGGAAGCTGTGCCCCAAAAAAAGACAGACAGAGGGTGAATTATTAGTTGGCGGTGTTGCCTGTGATGTTCATACAGCTGATTTCTGTCAATTACTGACTTGCTATGCTTTGTTCTACACTGTGCCTCAATGTGAGAGTAGTCATCTTGGTAAAGGCAGCATTTTGCTTCTTCATGTAAGATTCCCTCATAATAAGAACAATGAGCAGCACAGTAATGACATCACTAAATCTCCTAATCTTCTAAAAGTAGCAATAAGTGGCAGCAGTGCCTTAGATCTCACACTACAGCTATGAGACTTTAGATACTTTAGAGAGCTTAGGCAGACTCCCATACCAGTTAGTGCATCACTGACTGATTTTCAGGAGCAATTCAAGACAAAAAGTACATTTTGTAGTGTACATCTTAGGCACAAGTAACATTTCTAGATGGTTTTTTTTTAACATGAAATATCTTCACTTTTTTAGTAAAGTTTTACTTTAAGCAAGGCACAACCAATCAACTAATAATTTCCTTTAGGAGGTCAGTAATGGCAGCCCAGGTCATCCCACATGAAAAAGTAACTTTAAGGCTGGGTTCACACCTCTGCAACTGATGCATTCTTTCGGCATGTTTTGTGTTTTTGAACACTTGTTTTTATGCATTTTATTTTAGCCAATAGGAAAGTAGTGACTTTGATGTGACTTTGATGCTACCTGAGTGCCTGGGAGTGTAAAGTTCTTGAGGACAGGGACTGATGTGAATGTACAATATATGTAAAGTGCTGTGTAAATTGATGGCACTATACAAGAACCTGTAATAAATAAATAAATAAAGTCACATCAAAGTCAATACTTTCCTATTGGCAAAAAAAAAAAAACGTTTTTTGCGTTTTACTTTTCGCAAGACACAACCGATCAACTAATAATTACCTTTAGGAGGTCAGTAATGGCAGCACAGGTCATCCAACATGAAAGCGTAAATTTAAGGATGGGTTCACTCCTCTGCATGCTGCAGTTGATGCAATTTTCTGGCGTGTTTTGTGCTTTTGAACACGTGTTTTATATGCATTTTTCTTTAGCCAATAGGAAATTATTGACTTTGATGCCACTTTGATGTGTCTTGGATGCGACTTTGATGCTACTTTGAAGCTACCTGAGTGCCTGCGAGTGTAAAGTCGCATAAAAGTCACATCAAAGTCAATATTTTCTTATTGGCAAAAAAAAAATCCCCAAACGCATAAAAAACACACTACATTTGATTCTGCCACATGTCCATTGAAGTCTATTGAACTAAAAACGTGCTGCATTTAAAAAAGTCCCTGAACCTTTTCAAACTGCAGAGGCATAGATGTGAACGTTTCCCAATGGAAACCATGTTAAATGGACTGTAGTGCATTTATGAAAAATGCACTAAGAATGCATAGATGTGAACCAGGCCTCAGGGTTCTCAAACTTTTTCTCTACCACTTTATATAATGTAACAGATGAAACGAACATTAAACAGCTGCTAGCAGTTTTTGGAAATATATGGTTACAAGTTGATTTCTACACACTGTCAGCAAAGTTAGTTGATTATATCTTCTTTATGATACTATGGAGGTTTTAAAAAGGGAACTAAAAGCCAATCATTAATAAACCTGACCTTAAAAGTCCAATATATTTATTTATGCAATAAAAATAAGTTCAAGGTGACCTCATCCAAGCGATATGTTTACATTTTTTACATACAGTACATATTTATTTAATGATTGTAACAATGTCCTTTTAGGCTTACCTTTTTTATATATTCAGCATACAATGCCAAACTTTTTCCCCTACTAAGCTCTTAAAAGCCAGTAAAATGTTGATCCAATCTGTCTCACAACACTGTGTACAAATGCCACAATACCACAATAAATCTGTCCTATAAACATAAAACAACTCTAACAAATATATACTCTAGACTCTGGAATCTCGGCATCATAGACAGGTTTGAGGTCTTCCCAGAAGCCACCTCTCTGCCTGCATATTGAATTTCAGGCTAAAAATACCTTATGTTGCATGCACCATGTGGATAAATATTAATTACATTAAGCGGAGGTGAAAATCTCAGGAGATTTATCCTGCTGTATATGAAATTATCTCTCCACGAAAATGAGGAAAACTCACTTTGACGGTTGCTGGCTAACATCTGCCTAATAAAAACTGACTTACCTCCATGCCACTCACTACGTACTTTTGTTTTTTTCCTTTCTTCTGGCTTTCTCCCCTGCCCATTCAGCAGGGAACTTGGATATACATTATGCTATATTGAATTGATTTAAAGTGTCAAAACTTTTTTTTCTAGTCTTGCACAGAGTGGAATAGGGTTACAACTGCTCTTAGGAAAGATAGATTTTAGGGCTCATTCACACCATAAATGTTGGGTTCTGCTGGGCAGCCTTTCCCAATGCAGACCCAACACATAGACAAGGCAATTTGCCTTACGTCCTGTGAGTTCAGTTCATACCCCTGCTCTGCAATGGTGTGTACTGAAAAAAGTAGGACATGCTGTACTACGCCGCATCACAATGAGCTGTGGTGCATAGAGATGGCATTTCAATGATGGGAAATCTTACCTTTTGGAGTTTTCACCAGAACAAGAAATGAAGGGAACAGAAGAATTCCAACCACCTTGTAGAGATTTCCTCTCCCTTCTTGTTGCATCTTAGGGACATGAAATGAAGTGAAATCTCCCCAATGAGCCATATTTAGTAGTAAAAAAAAAAATCTGGCAGGAATTGTAATCCTTTTCTACCGGATCCAATTTTTTTAAAAAATGTTTGGCTATATATATATATATATATATATATATATTATATATATATATTCAAAATATAATAGTGTGTTCAGAGTCAAACATCACTAACCTGATCAATCACTGTTTTTGGTAGAAATTATATTTCTACATGGCAAATAATTTACTAGCAGGTGT